GTGTTTTGAAGGCGTCCGTAATCTACAGGCGTTGAATGAAATTCTGGATAATCAAAAACTCAAATATGCATTTCCATTTAACGATTTTGAATTTGAAACTGATATTGGTGCAATCATATTGTCGAATGCAAGATCATTTCTACCAGTGAGGAACTTTGACAGATCATATTTTTACTAAAAAATATTATTTTAAAATATTCACATAATCTTTTATACATAGTGTGATTGCATTATTCCTTTAATGCCTAACGTTGAAGAGACGTTAATGTTTGACGTACAAGAAGAAATCTTAGCAGAATTTAGGATATATCTTAGTACTTTTCGATACGCTGAATATTCTATCCCTGAAAGCGTTTCGAAGGTATCTTTGATTAAGTGGATGTTATGACTATTTCTTGCTTTATATAAAATAATTTTATATTAAATATTTTAAATAATGATAATGCTAGCATATTGAAAACGAATTCGTCGACCAACGAAAAAATGCCTCAAAAACTGGTCAACCTTTGGTGACTCAAACCGACTTATTACTGCGAATGACTTTAGCAAGGTTAGTACATTTATTTGATCATATGAAAAAACTTTCAATTAATATCTATTATGAATCTGGAAATTTAGATTGGTGACTTTAAGCTTTGGTCAATTTGAGCTAACACCAGAGCTGTGGAACTATACACAAAATTTGGATGAGCAGCGAAAACAACGCATTCAATGTTGATTGGAATCAGGGATCCATTGTACTTTCAGAATTTTTCAATGATCCATTAATTCCTATGAAAAATTCCACTGAAAGTATAATCTCATTGGAATGAATATAATGTTTAATGCACATATAGCAGTTAATATTAACAAATCAAAATAACTATACAAATAAAGTCATGTGTATACTGTCATATGAGTTTATAAATATATAAATGTTTTAGAAATTTAGGTCACGAATTTACAAAGTGTACTTGTAACACTTGGGATTGTCTAAGATTCTGATACATGGAAATGCATATTTGAGTTTTTGATTATCCAGAATTTCATTCAACGCCTGTAGATTACGGACGCCTTCAAAACAC